ACATATTTACTTACAGTAAGTATAAATGTTAGGTAATATATAGACAAGAGGCATTTGGATTGCCTCATGTCCCCCTGCCAACAGAAGTATCAAAAAATCTGTTTTACCTCATTAATGTGAAAGAAAATCTAATCATCTACTCCAAGTGTGAAGTTTCTGTGAGTTGTCACATTCACAACACAGAGGGCAGCACGGCAACTTAACATCCCACTTATTGTAGACTATGGTGGAGGGACATACAGTAGATCCAGTCCTATTCTGTCATTTAGGAGCTATTAAAAACACCATTTGGTCTCCTAAAATCAAAATGAACTTTCCCTCCTCTTGTCTACTCACATCTCCAACTATCTCCTGAAAAATAGTCCGGAACTGCTGATCCTCCTCGTTCTCCTCCCCCGCTGAGGTCGGCGCCGGCTGCAGCATCACAGAGCCACAGGCAGAAAGAGACAAAGTCACAGAAGATATAGAGAAAGTTGTAGGGATCAGGTTTTCTGAAAATGCACTTTTAGTAGTCACATGTTATTGTGCTGTTAACTTCATTTTGTATTATTACTGATACTGTTTGTTGTTTAGCATCATCAGAAAAAATGTTTGGACAATACATACTAGTGTTTGATACATGATGCCATGAACACAGGTCAGAGCATGGTCCAACATGGAAACTATAGTGGGCTTTCATTTCAAGTTTGAGATTGAAACTGCGTGTGTGCATCTTCAAATTGAAACTTTGTCAAGCTGCAGCTGCTTGTCAATAAGTGCTGCTGACAGGAAACCAAAAAGCCAACACAGTTATGAAAATCAGCTATTCCTGGAGGAAAGTTAGGGAAACTTTAATATTCCAAATTATCCAAAATCCAAAAAACAAGGACAGCCACTCACCACTGGATGGTCAGACTCGATCCTGTTCTCTATCTGCCTGGATGAAGATGAACAAAAAGCAGTCAGCATGGTGACAGCAACATCTCCTATGGACCATAAGCCTACTTTAGAATCACCATTAATGCCAAGAAGCAGTGTGATTCAGATATGTGTGTACTACCGTACCCAGAAACATGGAGCCAACATCAGTGGAATGAAGTATCTATTAACAAGCTACTACTCTATGCAACCAGTCCCTCCTCATGTAGCCTGCCCTGATCTCCCTCAGACACTCACTCAAAGGTGTTCCTCTTTTCAGAGAAGACTCGCAGGATGAACTCCCCCGCCTGATGCGGCTTGTATGTTGAGGGAACGATGACATACTCCCCAGGGCTCAGGCGGAAACGCTCGGTCACCTCACGCAGGTTGATGTAGGCCTTGCAGCGAGCCTTGGACGAGTTGACCAGGAAAAAGTCCTTCTGCATGTGCTGCTTGTTCCCATGCATCTGGAAGAGGGAGACAGTGGCAACAGAAGGAAATGTTGACTAAAAACAAAAATTCCCTCAGAGGTCAGTCAAGTGAGACACTACTGTATAAAAACTGGTGGTGATAATAATAATTGGAAACTGGATATGAAGACAAACAGCGTGGGGTGTAATTAACTTGCAAGACTCCTGCTCCATCTCCCTTACCTCCTTTGGCACCTGTAAGAAAACACAGACAGCATCAGTGTTTGTGTCCATTATAGGATGCAGTTTAAAACCAGACAAAGCTTATTTCATCTTGAATGTGTGATAAAGAATTATGGCCTTTACAACAAAGAAAAATAAAACAAGAGCTTTAGTTTTCTAAAGGAATACAATAAAAACACTTGTATGTTCACAGCTTGTTTAACAACATTAACGATTCTATGCGAATACTTTATCCAAGTATGAAACAAAGTCAGTGAGAACCAAACCTCATAAATAGCGAATCCGATGGTGAAGAGGTTAGCTCCCATCTTACGTTCTTTCCGCCGGTTCTTCTGCATCAGAGCCACCACAAAGGTGCAGCTCACCTCGTTGTCCTCAGGGTCATCGTCCTCTTCCAGCAGACGAAGGCGGTACTGAGGGTTGGTCCAGAAAGTGTCTGCGGGACATTTAGGAATCATTCTCACATATGTAATATTTGGTTTTTAGTGATCATTTTTGTTTCTAGTTTCTAGTTGTTCTATGCCACATCCCTATTTTTGTTCTTTAGCACACCAGTGTGACTGTTTTTGAAAGTACAAACCTCTGTACAAACAAGGAGAACGCAATGTTTTTTACAGTAGTCTACCTGGGTAGTTCCTGCAGCCTCCGGCAGAGCAGCCTCTCACCCAGTGGCCCTCATTCACAGAGACCGTCCACTTGTGGGTCTTATCGTCCTCCAGGGCGTCGGGGGTGAGGTTACAGATCTCGAGCTTGGTGTAGTTCTTCTTAAAATCCTCAAACGACATCCTGGATGTGAAGTCAGAAGATCAGGACAGGTTGGAAAAGCTGGTGATAATCAACAGCAGTTGATTCAATGCTTGTTGTTAAATAACTGAGTCAAAGTTTTCCTTTTATGTAAATTGTTAGGGTATGCCTTTTATTTCACCTTTTCCTCTGGTTTTACCTTTAAATGACTAAATCAACATACTGTACATGTAAGTTAGAGGAAAAACATGTCGTCAGAATCCACACTTTGCAAGATAAAAATAAGCCACTGACCAGAATTCCCCGTCCTCAGCACTCTGGTGCTGTAGCTTCTCTTTTTCAGCCTTAGGCAGTGTGGCCCACTCCTTAGAGCTGCCACAGCGGAGAAAAACAGCAACATTAATTGAATCTAAGACAAAGTTTCACCAAACACTGAGCTACAGTTGCAGAAGGTAAAGATGGTTAACATCTCCTTACTTGTCACTCCAGGGACCATTCCATTCCACTTGACCCCACGGGTTCCTGAGACGCACCAGGCAAACTTTAGAGTCCTTGTGCAGGGACGGTCTACACTGTAGGAAAACACAAAGCTACCTTTACATGTCTTAAGGTTTTTGACATATTAATGCAGGAACAGTGACACCAAAGTGAACTTTCCCCCTAACACTGGCCTTGTTTGTACTGCTCTGCAGAGTCACAGAGCTGGAATAATCTCGGTACACAACACGTTATTGTTTTCTTCAGCCTTGCTTTACCTCTTCCACTGCCGTCACAGAGTAGGCGTGGCCTTTCACAAGTCCCGTCACAGTACGAGTCTCAAAGCGAGCGGGAACCAGAGACTGTAGACACACATGACATGTAAAACATTTGAAGACAGAAATGCTGTAAACACATCCTACATCCGTATCTTAATTAGTAAGGTCCTGAGTATCACTGTGAGCTAAAAATGTCTGAGTCACATCAATGGAGCAGCCCATGAGGGAGCCTCTCTCCAGAGCTTTCTTCATGATCTTGTAAAGCCCTTTGGGAGCTTCCTTCATCTCATAGAACTCAGTGACTCCACCGGTGAAATCCTCCATAGCCTCGGTGGTGTTTCCGCCCTTCAGAGCCTCGTAGGAGCCGTGCAGCCTGGACAAGGAACAGTACATATGTACCTTTAGTACATCTAGACATATCCATGTATCAGTTTTGATATAAATCACTGTTACTTTTCATAATGTGTTACTTTAACTTCTGTTTTATATAGTGTTTTTAGATGTGCTGATATTGATTTTTAATCTTAGTAAGACCTTTTCCTGGTTAATTGAACTTATTTTTATTTTTATTTAGTCCTAACCTGAGTAGTAGTATGTTTACATGCCAAAAAGGATGTAATGTATAAGACAAAGACTGATCAGACAAATTGCAGCCCTCCAAACCAGCTTGGAACAAAACAGCAATGTCTGAAAATAAGTGTGAAAACTGCTTATATACTGTACATTATACAGCTACAAAAATGTATTTAATATCAAAAGCCTGCAATCCAACTGAACAAAAGTGCTATAGCTAACTGTAGTTGAGTCGTCTTCTTTTATGCAAGTATAGTGCAGAAGGCCAACTTTCAAACCAAAGGCTCAGTCCTTCACCACAGGCAAAATATCGCCTGTACACTCACTTGGCATAGGCCTTCTCCAGCAGAGCGCTCCAGAACTCATTCCTCTCTGCGGATTTCGTGAAAACCAGCTGATTGTTGAAGGTTGGGATGCGGTCGTCGATGATGACATCAACCCAGTCACCGTAACACCAGAACTGAAGGACAGGAGGAGAAACATGACAAGGATGAGAAGCCACTGAGTTTCCTACAACTCTGACACTTATGTGAATCAGCGGCCTTTCATCATGATTTCTGAAGAAGAGGAGGAAGTAAACTTGTCCCAGCCCAATTTACTGCTGCTACATTAGAATGAGAACCACTGTATTTGGGAAACATGGACAGGACATTAGACAGTTGCTTCTGACCTGGAAGTGGAAGATGCCAGCGTAGCCCTCTGAGAAGCTTTGCTCCTGGGGAACAACACGGTAGAGAAGCTTCTCATTCAGGGTAAGACAGGCGATGGCAGCCAGCAGCCAGCAGTCACCTGAACACAAAACCATTTTAATTCACCTTGGTGTTTTCATACTGTCCAGGTGTGTGACAGGGCGTTAGCTGCCCGGCTTGGAGCAATGTAAGTTTTGCAGACAGGGAATGCTTAACAGTGTCTGCCAGGAATTTTGTCCTTTTGGTCACCTTTTGCAGTTTGACCTGGACAACAATGAGAAGTGCTGCTGTTTGGATTCCCTTCCAAAAGAGTAAGCACATAATGGGGAGGTTGTGGCAGGCAGAGGCCGCATGCGGGGGATCGATGAGAAATTTGCCCTCCTGTTCTCCCCTGAGCAGCCTGAATGCAAACTGAACATCGTGAGAACGGTTTCATACAGCCCACTGTCTGTCCCCACACAGTCCCATCACACTGTGCACACAATCCAAGCAGTATAGATTATGGATGGAAGTTTGGTCAGTCATCACTGAAACTTTCCCTCCATTATTTCATTGTAGAAAGAAGTAAAAGAAGCATTATTTACCAAGATCTCCCTGGCAGACGTCTGTCCTGCTGGCTCCTCCAACAATGAACTGAGGGTTCTCACAGATTTCCTGCGGGTGATAAACACAATGCAGAGTTAAGGATCATTCTCACATTAGCTTTCTACATAATTCTGTTAATCTATGGAATGAGGGTGTTTATGCAGATTAGAAATCTCTCTGACAGAAACTTGTGAATTTTGGGCCAGGTGGGTGTAATTCTGATCACATCTGCATCTTTAGATTAAATCCCACAGCACCATGGAGTTTTCAGTGTAAAATAAAATAATTCCTTATCTGTCGTAGGAAGATGTTGTTCTTTCCATGCAGGTTTGATGTTTGCTGTGTATGAAAATAACGTCCCACCTCCCATGTGTGATCCACCCCCCCCTTTATTTAACTTTGCCTTCAACATGCTTCTCCATGTGCCAACCTGGTGTAATTCCCTTCCTACCTTGGGTCTCTTCCAGATGATGTTCTTCACCTTGTTGGACTTGCGTCCAAGCTCCTTGAAGCCTAAAGACTCCACAGTGGCTGGGAAAGCATCATCCTCAAACAGGCTCTTCCTCTGAAGGCACTCCTGTCTCAGGGTGTTGAAGTCCTGGTTGTTGAAGTGGAGGGGCTTGTTCAGAGACCCTTCCCCGTCTCTTCTCTCTCGTTCCCGGATCAACCGGTCACAGAAAAAGCCAGATGGTGTATAGGGCATCTTGTTTCAGATTACTTTTTTTTAAAGCTCGTGTTTGCCACTTGTACTAAAGTCTCACAAACCTAAAAACCCTGGCATAAATCCAAACAGCTAATGGCTTATTGGCTCGTTCTTTGTGTGACGTCTCTGGTGACTCCCTCCCCTTTGTCACAGAGTAGATGCAAACGCTTGGTGTGGAAGAGGCATCCACTCCATAGGCATTCACCATGCACATACACTCCCACATATACACAGAAAGTCACACATCACACATACATCTATTTGTTGCATTCCCATTGGCTGGACTGAACAATGATCAATCCCTGGCTGTGGTGCTCTGGTGCCATCATTGTTGGGTGACACAAAGGCCAGCAGGCTTCACCAGAGGACATGTAAAGAGTGCTCGGTGGATGCCCTGCCTCAGCAGAAGGCATTCAACCCCTTTAGACCTGCTCTCAATGGAGATCAGCATTGAGCTGTCTCAGCATAACTAGAGCAGGATAATGCTGAGGAGAAGTATCATCTGTTTTTAGCACCGGCAGGAAAGAACAACTTCCATCCAGTGTTCTGGGTGTTGTTAACAGCACAGATGATCCCCAGTAAACTGCCAATGTATATGATGTATGTAAAGGCAACACATTGTCCTGCCGTAAAAAGCTGTTAATAAAAGAATCATTACTTCCAGACACATGCTGGTGGATATGCTGTTCCACAGATGGGGTTTCTTTCAGATATGAATGCAACCAAGGCAGGAAAACTCAGGATATCTAAAGATTTCTGGCATAAAAGTAGAAATCTCAGATACAGAAACAAATGAAAAGAAAATCCTGTGTTCCAGGATGACAGTGCCCCCATCTATAGGACATGAGGAGTCACTGAATGGTTTAATGAGTGTAAAAGTGATGTGAATCATGTGCTGTGGCCTTCCCAGTCACCAGGTCTCAGCCCAGTTGAACAGCTATGAGAGATGTTGGAGCGACAACCATCCAAACACCACATGAGGGACTATCTGTTTGAATAAAGGTGCTCATCCCTCCAGTAGAGTTCAGACTTGGAGAGTCAGCGCCAAGGTGAAGCTGTTGTGGTGGTACGTGGTGACCCAGCACCTCACTGAGACTCTTTATGTTGGGCTTTCCTTTGTCACCTGTCTTTAGGATTTCAGCTTACTGCAGCATTTCCCGTTGTACTACACTCTTAAATCAGATCTGCTTTGAGATGAGGTCAACAAGTGGCCTGTCACCAGGCTTCAGTTAACCATGATGGCGAGACGAAAACAAAGAGGGTCTTTTACAGTGAGCAGCATAAAAAGGTGCAATTTATTGAGGAGAGGAAACTTTCACTCCATTGCTTTAAAATCAATGTTGCATTCAAAATGATTATTCAGTACTCATATATTCATGTTCACAAGTTAAAAATGTTTGTGATTATATATGCAGACATGATTTTAAAAAGTACAGTACTTCATGAAACAGACGTCAATGGAGGGATCGTCTTAGATTCTTCTTTATGTTCAAAAATCAAATGGGTAAATAGTTAAAACAGAAGCGAGGAGTGAGTGTAGCCCCCTTTTCAGCTTTTTAGAAACTTGCAGCATTTGTTATCTCAACATGTCACTGTGGGCAGTGACCAGCATCAACCAGTTGTTCCTGTGTTTTTACTCCAGCAGTTTGTCAACCAGTGATTCTGATGACTTGTACCTGAGACTACATTAATCTCTTCTATGTGGAAAAGGAAATCCAGAAGAGGGAGAATCGGTCACTCAACACACAGTCATTCTTAAATGATCTGTAAGTCCCAGTCCTGTGCCACTCTCAGGTTCAAGCTTCTCACTGTCAGCATGCTGCAGGACCCCGTGTACTGAAATGCAGCAGAGGTGTCCTTAGTGCCTGGCGATAAAAAGCAGATGTTATGCTTTGTCTCGGACTCTTCTTTGACATTGTTACTAAGATGAGCATAGAGATTCTTACAATTCCAGGATTTCTGTAACAAACTGTTGTAATCAGCCTTTTTCCTTTACCTGTACCTGCTTTATTAGAACATTTCCTACAGTAGAAAAAGGTTTCCATGTCTCCATAATGGATTTCTTCATTTGTAATGCTTGTGTAATGTGGTCTTGTTTGTGCTGGTACCCATGTTGATGTTACTAACACTGTGAATGTCAGTTTTTACAGACCAGCTCTGGATAAGTGTTGCAGTAAAAATGCCAGCAATCCTCACCTGATACATGCACAACCACCTTGGACGGTTTGAGCTTGAGCCCCAGGATGATGACCGACTGTATGACAGTATCACATGCAAATGTTCCTTCATCACTGGCAGGACTGCAAGAGATTCACAGACGTCACATCATCATGTGTGAGGTGTTTATTACTATCTGAGGTTCATTTGTTCCTTTAACTTTCATGTAAGGTATCTGCACAACCCAAAAATAATAATATAGATGTGGTGTAAAACTGTAAACTCTTCAGAAGCTGCGCGTTGTGACTCACCGGCAGAGCAGACGGCCTGACAGCATGTTGAACCGGCGAACACAGAAGGCTTTTCTGTCACGATAGTTGAAGGAGTGGCCATCATCCAAGTACAAGTCACCATCAGCAGCACCCTGCAGAGAGAAGGGACGGTAATCTGGGCATTGCTAGTTAAGAGACACAAATGTCACAAATCAGAATTTTTCATGATGCAAACTAAAACAGAAATTGTCTGTTTTTAGTAAATATAGAGGTAAAACTCTTGAAACACTTGAGCAGCTGGGCCTTTGTCAGAATGTAAGGATTTCATTATGAAACCTGGTACAGCAACAGAACCCAGGTTCCCATACCTGAGAGTTTAGACCCACAGTGATGGTGAGGGGGAGCCGCTGCAGCTCAGCTGTGCAGGAGCCGCTTCCTGTTGATCTGAAAACCACTGAACCTGCACGCTGAAACACAGGAAGCTGTACAGAAGAAACACCACAGCGTCAGTCACCTTTCATTCACAAGATAATACCAGGCTTTATTTCATTTTGAACAAGTGCTGAGAAATTTCTCTATCCAACCAGATAACTTCCCATTAACTAATCTGATCATAAAATGTTGTTTTTCCAGCATTAAACAAATCTCTACGTTTTGCTCATATGAAAACTAGTACTGTCCTACGACTCCCTATGTTCTGTCAGTTCTGATTAACACTAACTGTGTCCAGGGTAACTGGAAGACTCAGAGTCCTGCCTCCTTTGTATGCCTCTGCAGAGTGGATGTCATACCAAGTCTGAAACAGAAACAAACCTTAGTGCAACATCCACACTTGAATTACCTAGAATATACATATGAATATGTTACCTGGTGGTTGATTTACCTCATCACTTCCAGGGAGTAAGACTTCGACTTCCTGAACACCAGGCTCAGTTACAGGACAGGCAAGCAGTGCTCTTCCTGCATGGAATCAAAGGCTGCTAAACAAGTGCAAGGATTATAAGTACGATGTGTAATAATGCAAAAAATTCAAGATTTTTTTTTACCAATCATATACTGGCTGTCCACAGAGAGGGTGCTCTGTTCTTTCGGGAACTCCACCCACAGAGGTCTGTTTTAAATGAACCAATTGTTTCTATAATTTTTGTGTTTTTAACTCTAGTGCCTGAAAAACTCAAAGCTGATCCCACAGGATCGACACTGATGTTTGTATTTATAGAACATCTGCTGAACAGCTGACGGCAGAAGCAGCACTCACCTGAGCGGAGGCAGGCCACAGGTGTGAGCCTGGTAGAACAGTGTGTACCAGTAGGGCAGCAAGCAGTACCTGAGCAGAGGAGAGATACCACAGTTTGCTTGTTGTGTAGTCATATTTTCACCTGATCCGCACCACTGACTCCCCTTAAGGATACTTCAAATACTATTTTGTCTTGGTAAATGTATTAGAAAATGAGTTTATTTGTGTTTGTATTATGTTCTGGCTGTCCAGATGAATCAGTCTCTGGAACCTAGTGATGTGTACATGTCTTAATAAAACCATCATCAATAAAACAATCATCAACAGAAGCAGCTGAATCTTAGAGCCATGAACAAAATTGCTCTTTTGAAATTTAAGCACAAACTAAAAATCTTTATCTCGGTTTCAGATCTCTCTCTGGTTGAACCTCTCTGACAATACCTCTGCTGGATTGCAGTGCGGATTGCAGCAGTGACCACCTCCCCAAACACCCAGGGTTCCCGACGCTTTGTCGTCTTCGCAGAGTGGCCGCGGAAAAAAGGCTGCAGGGCGGCTGCCTGGTACCAGCGCACCAGCAGCTCTGGCCCTGGATCCTGAGCAAACCCACCAACATCCGCTGAAACACAAAGTACAAAGGATACTCAAAGCAGTAATTCACAAGTCTAGTTTGATTTTACCATTTAAAAAAATACACCCACTGTGTACAGTACTACACTCACCTCCACAAAATACTATGCCTGTTACACTTAGAGACAAAAGCATTGGGATCGAGATCTTCAGGTACTCCCAAGTGGCTACATTGTCGCCCGTCCATACTGCTCCTGCATCCCAAACAAAATTACTAACAACAAACAACACAGCTCCAACCATAAATACATGAAAATGTCTTCAACATATTTCCATTCAAATAACTCACCAAGTCTCTGTGAGCCAGCAAAGAAGGAGCGTGTCAGAACAAAAGGTCTCTCTGAGCCCCCGGAGCGGGTTATCAGACCCTCCGCTGTGGCCATGTGCTGCAAGAAAACACAAGTCGCTGTAAAGCAAGAATCATTTGGTAAAGTTGTCCGCATCTCATTTGACAATGGTGAAGATTTGGACACACACAATAGACCCAGGGAGACAAAACATAAAGACTGCCCCAGCAGCTCCAGACCTTCCACACTCTGGGGGTCACTTGGACATTATTGTTTTATGAGCCCACACACCTGGTGAAAACCATACAGGTTGTGTACTTCCCGGTGCTCCCAGCCCCCATAATGCACCACGTCCTTTGGCATAGTCTGCTCTGGCCCGTAAAACACAGATGGCTCGTTCATGTCGTTCCACACAAATAACGATGGTGTCGATCCCTGTATCAGAAATCAACGACAGCAAAACTACTCGCTTTGAGGTTATAGCGGTGAATTTAACCACGTGTGAGAACGTTTTGTTTGCATTTGTTGAAAGTGTTCACAAAAATCTGAAACTCTTTCATTTCGCAGGTAATAAATACATATAAACAAGATCCTCTGCAAAAATTTGGTTGCATATATGCAGTAATATGAATCTTACACCTACTTTGTATTTATTCAGGCCAAAGCATCTGGAGTACCACGCTCGAGTGGCTGGACTGCTGAAATCAAGGTACGATGACTTACCTGTGAGGGAGGTTTGTATGAACTCCATTAAGAGGGAACAAAAACTGGGTTTTCAGAAAATTATTTACATTACTCTGTGGTGTATTTGGACACAATTCAAATGTCAAAACAAAGACATAAGACAGTTATTAACTACTGATATGTAGAATTCAAGTGAGTAGAGGCCTTTTCAAAGTCTAAGGGTAAAGATTTCATTGTGTCATTCTGTGTTTTTATACAAAGTAAAACTTTACCGGGCCAGCATGAGCCCTGGTATAACTGTCCCTCTCTGTCCTTGACAAAATGTCCACCATCTCTGGCCTCACAGTACAGGGACCAATTTGGATCAACTTTGATGTGAGGATCGCTTATGACAACCAACTGAAAGACATGGAAACATATGCACAACAAATACTCAAAACTTGTAACATATAAGAGCAGAAAAGGTCTATTGTGTGACATGACAGTGACATGACAGTGACCTTCCGTTTCTTCTTCTCCAGGTGCTGCTGCAGGTTTTCTGGTTCAGGGAAATGAACAGGGTCCCAGGTGAAATAACGCTTCCCATCTGTGTGCTCAATGTCCAGCCAGATGACATCGTAAGGGATGTTGTGGTGATCAAATCCAGCGTCCACAGCCTTCACATCAGCTTCGTCATTATAGTTCCAGCGGCACTGGTGGTACCCGAGTGCAAACAGAGGGGGCAGAGCCTGATAACCTGGCAGAGGGAGGAAGACAAGTTCAGCCCTAATGGACAATTCACCAGCATACTGTCATCATACAGTGTTTATTTGAATTGTTGAATGAATTGTTACAAAAACATGATCCCTGATTGTTTTTTGTTATGATTTGTGCACTCGCTTCCTGTTTTGTGCTTTTATTTTGGTTAGTTTCCTGTCTTGTGTCACCTCACCTGCCCCAGCTTTACCCTAGTTCACAATCACCATTCACTGTTTCCACCTGCTGCTCGTTATCCTCTGGTCACCCTCCTACATACACCCCTTCCTCATCTTTGCCCTGTAAGCTCAGTGTCCGGCTCTCGTCCCTGAACTAGTTTTGTACTCTTTGTTTTACTATGTCAGGTTGAGCCTTGTATTTTCTTTTTGTTTCTTGTTTTGTGTTACATTAAATTCCTATCAACCTCTGCGTTGGCTTGCGTCTGCAAATCCGGGTCCTTCCCTTGCCCAGACCCTAAAAATAATGTTTTGGCACCACAGGGTAAAAATCTTTTTTTAAGATTTTAAACGTCATTTTTAAAGCTGTGCTTTGTTTTGACATGTAAATAAACATAAAGAAATACATTCAGAGCTGCAAACACACCTGTCAGCTGAGCATACTGGCTGAAGAGCTGCTGTGGACTGGGCCCAAGCAAAACCATGCAGTCGATCACGCCGCTCTCTGACAGCCAGTGAACATCAGTCAGAGGCTGCTGCCGCGGCCTCTTCGCTAGGTGTGCCTGGTCATCCAAGGTGAGGAAAGGGGTTATGATGTTATGAATGCACCTTTTTGTGAGAGCAGCAGTGGCACAAAGGTTACCTGATGGTCAGTGAGACTGTAATGTATGTTCACAAAGGTCTCAGATGCATTCAGCCAAAATACACCCAGAGTCCTGTCGGGCTTGTGGGCCACCAACAGCGGTACAGACCCATACAGGCCGAGGCGACTGTACAATTCATAGCCAAACACATCCAAGTTATACAGCCGATAAGGTTCACCATCCCTGTGAAATAAAACGAATCAAAGCCGTGATTGCCAACTGATTATAAAAATCTAAAGCTATACTAAATGAAATGCAAATAAATTAAGATTGACTTTATTACAGTAGTGTGATTCTGTTATGTTTGCATTTTGTTCAGAAACATGTACAGTATGTGTGTGTGTGTACCTGGTGTCTTTGAGCTGCAGGCTGTCGGCGTGCTCTGGTAGGCCATACACATGACTGAACCCGTGGAGACAGAGGTCTGCCCCTATGCTACTGGGACCTGGACATAAGCAAGTAGTACTTTTATTTTTATGTATGTATTTCTGGCTGTATTCATGCTTGTGTATTTTTTTTTTCCAAGTGAGCCTTGATGGAGCTGCAATGTACAAAGGATATCTGAAGACTGTGGTCATTTTATGAAATCCTCTCTATAAATGTGAGATGTAAATTGATACATAAACATGGATAGAACACCGTTATAATACGTATTTAGAATAAAAAATACTAGGACAGACAAAATTCCTCTCTGTTGTTCTTGGGGATAACTCAGACTCTGGAAATAAAACTGTACCTAGCTACATGGTTGGGACCCACTAGTGTCAGGAGATGATGTTCCATGTAGTTTGATTGAATTGACCCTAAAATTCTGGGTGGGACAAATCAGCATCTTGTGTGTATCTGCTTTTGTGTGACACTGATCCAGCAAAAAAGAGGTGGCCTCTCAGAGACCCTACCCCAAAAAAATGAAGGTTAGCAAAATATTAAAGCGCAGGCACAAACCATTCGCTTTGACATCCACAAACTGTTTGAAGGTCTCTCTCCATAATAAACTTGTGTCGTCCTGTTGAAGCTGTTGCTGGAACAAAGCAAGACAAATGAGGGGATTAAGTTTTAAATAATGTTACACTGCTGTTTAGACTTTTTTTGTACTCTTTTACCTCACTGCCATGAGAGGTGACCCTGAGCAAAAAGACCCAGAGAAAAGCCATTTATTAAAGTGTTCATGTGATGATTTCCTTCTTTTTTGGTGAACACAGCTTGTCCCTGCAAACCTCACCTGGGTGGTTCCTGTATTGCCTCAAACCACAGTTTGCCTTTAGAGTTGAACGTAACTATCACTTCGTTTTCACACAGGATCTCCAGTTGGAAAGGAAAGTGCCACACACGGACCTGGTGACGTCCTGGAGGCCAAGAAAGGGTGACAGAGTTCTTAGTCCGTGTCTCCACTCTCAACCTGCCAGATGAGGAGAAAAGTCAGCCACTGCAGCGATCATACAAATCACGGTGTAGTTAAAAGGCTTTTACCACTACTTTAAATAGGTTCTCGATCTGGGTCTTCAACTTTACACCTACAATAACTGGTGTGTTTAAATACCAAACTAAAAAGCTGTAAAAGCCATAAAGCATCACCATCACAAATATTTCCTGGAAAGAGAGAAACTTCAATTTTCAACTTGAAAGCCATTAAAAGACATTAACCTGCTGACTTAAAAACAAAAGCACCTGACAGAACTAAGACTCCATAAGAAGCTCCTAACAAGCCTGAATTGATTTTAATCATTTCTGTCCTATGTGACAATCACGGACGGGCAACACAAAACAGGCATAAAGTTATTAGTGTATGAGTGAAAGGCCTAAGGAAGGAGTGGATTTGTATGTGCACTAAATATCATGGAGGCTGATGCAGCTCTTACTGTTCACACTGAGGCTCCGCCGTTACCACATCTGGAACTCGGTAGCGCGCTTTAATGGGCTGGAGTTCATCAATTAGTATCCTTACAGTGTCATTTTTACAAGGAGACAAAGAAAGAAGCAGTCTGGTCTGTGAAAAGAGCAAAGCAAGAGGTTTTTGTAGGTTGAATCTGATTTATAATCTTTTCACTATTGTGAACCAGTTTATGAAAATCATTTTTAACCTTAATTTTAACTTTATTGCCTAAATTAAAATAAAAAAGTTGAAAAAGCATCTGATAGATTGTTATAATTCTTAACCAAAGATGATGGAGCTTCCTGTGCCAGCTAATAAATCCTTAACAGAAATGCTATGTCCATAACATAACTAATTTTAGCACAACAGTTTCAAACTATGTATAGTGTGTACTGTCTGCTTAAATTGTCAAATATGTAAATAGATCATCTCCAAATAGATTGTCCTTGATTTAGATTTTCAGTCTTACTAGTGTTCAGACCTGTTTATCAGACTCCAGCAGTTCAAAGTGTGCGCCCTTCTCGGTGAGCACCAGGGTGTCCAAAAGGGCTCGGTGCTGCAAGTTTGGACCCTGCATCTGTCGCCTTGGAAGCGATAATACAAAGTGACGATGATCATCAACATTATGCAACACACATTTCAAAAGTGATTTGCACAGCAAAAATTGATATTAAAAGTACAAGGCACCTGTAAAAAGCAACATGACTGCTTTTCTTGAACTTTGCATTCCCGCCATCAGGATCATCACTGAGGAACAAGCAGAGGATAAAGTAAAAAATAAACATCACACGTACTGCAGGATTTCCTGGCTATTTGGAATGACTTTCACACATTTTTCCAGGCCATTTAGATTTCTAGAGTGTAAAAGCGCTCAGATAATAGGTTACCTGCCAGAGGAGGTATTTGTGTAGGTAAAGGTTTATTGTCATGCAGTCATGTAAACGTAGAGTATGTAAAAAGAAATTCTTGGTAAAATGATATAGTGCTATGTTATGTATTTGCAAAATTGTTCAAATGATTGTTTAATCTGTTTGACCTTTGGAAAGACTTGACCTGTGCCCATGAACTGCTTGTGAGTAGGTGCAGAGAGAGAGAGACTCAAAACAACAGGAAGTGTGCGCAGGCAGAAGGAGATGACAGGGCTGTCTGCAGCCAGAGATGTAAGTGGGTAAAAGGTCTTATTGTTGACATTTACTAATAAAATATGAAACGCTTGGCCTTCTATAGTCAATATTGTAATCTGCATTAGCAAATATATTTACAGGATTATTTTAGTATCATATGCATTATACTAGTATCATATGCCTTATAATCTACTTTTGTGATAACAAATATGTGCATCACTAAAATATGCCTTACTGGAAAAACTAAACTCTATAGGGCGGAACATTAACTTTAGCTTCATAACTTCTAAATATATAAAAATTTAGAACATGCACCACAAACTGCAGGCAACTGGAATGTTCAGTTAAAATGTGTTATGTGTTAGATATGTTTATTTTATGTAATGTCCATTTGGAATAGCGTTGTGTAAATACTTTTGTTTGGGAAACAGGTTTGGAAACTCCGATGTCAGAGTTTTCCACGTGTCCTTAAACGCACCGTGCATTCGTGGATCGTGGCCTTTTGAGAGTGCGGTAAAACACTCAAAAATCTGTGTGCGCGCGGAAGGTGATTCGTGTGTTAGACGATCCACGCATGCATAGGTAACAATGTTTACGTACTTTCTAAAGAACTGCACACGAAAAATCGATTTTAAGCATTTGTAAAATGTGTTTTATGTGCAGATTGTACAACATGCATTTGTGATCCTCATGACACACACACACAAATGGCTTTATACAGACAAAACGTTAAACACGCATTTGTAACATTTTTGATAGTATTTTATCTCCATAGTAAATAGCTTTTCTTGAATATTTCTCTGAAATATTGATTGTAATAAATATCTTAAAAGACAGATTTGTCTTTGACCATTCTTCATCAAGAACACGCAGGACTGGTTTCAAGTCCATCAAGTACCATTCGTTACGTATTATAAACGCACTGTATGCAGCCTTTACAGATACACAGTTCACATGAACAGTCAAAGGTCAAAGTCAGAAAACGTGCCGGTGCAGCAGTGGATGAAAACAGCCCATGTTACAGTTCGTACCTAACACCGGCTTGGCTCACTTCCGCCATGTGAAGCAGACGCACCAACAAAGCAGCAGCTCACGCTCGGTCCTGTTATTGTTGCTCTGTGTAAACTTACGAGCTCTTCTTGACAATGACGGAATGAATCATAGATGCATTATTAAACCCAGATACCAGACGTAAACATGGCGTCCATGCTGTCCAATGAAAGTTGCTCGCTTGGCGCTTTGGAATACACAGAACACACGACTCCAACAAGACACAGCACCAACTCCACTTCCTGTATACGTCTTCAAAGCAAACTCCCAAGCTGAAACACATTCATGGGTGTATTAAGGAATAAAATTTTTTAACTGTCTTAACGGAAGTACGTTTTTAAAGTTTTATATATAGCTTATTCATTAACAATAATCATCAGACACATGAGACTTGTGATGTTTTGTCGCCCTCTCATGGTGACATTGTGAACGACAACAAGAAACACCCCGGAACTGGAGGTGGACACGGCTCTGACCCGTAGTAGATGCACAAATGAAGATGCCGGATGCTCGTTGGTTATGTTTACTGCTTTTGGTATTAGTTTTCCGTTCGGGGACACCGGCAGAGGTGTCCGTATGGGACGTGGACATCAACTCGGTTAGTGTTACATCTTCAGTATGTAATGTAGCTTGTCGTGCTGAATCTAGCTACCATAGCAGCAGCTTTTAGCCGGGGTAGCTTATTAGCCTTCATTCCACTGTGTGATTCACCTGTCACACGCCTTTTATGATTTGACAGTTCTTGTTTTGCTATTCTGACAGGACCAGCTTCTCATTCGTACATTATCCTAACTTAAAATCATAACTGCTTGTTAATTATAACATTACCTGCTGTTGGGTAGCTCTGAAAATCTAATATGATAACGTTGCCAGAATAATTGAGCAAAGGCATCTGTCAGCACTCAGTGACGTTATTTGCATATAAGTGTTGCAGAGGGAAAAGGAATGTGCTTGTACACTGCTATGTAGCTGCTTAAATAAAGGCTTGGCCAAGTCATGGTTATGATAAGTTTACAATAGCTCAGCCAGTTTTCCCTCAATCCAGAAGAAGCAACTTTGGGGGTGGGGTATTGAAAAACAATACATCAGCATTTGCTTCCGTCTGCAGTGATGTGCTTAATTTAAGGGAAGTTAATCTTTGAGTAGAGTATTTGCAAGAGTAAGCTACTAATAGATGTGGCTTAACCATCAATAAGACTGATGGCAAATATGAAAATGTGAAAAATATATGTGCAATAACTCCTTACTCGACATGCACAATAGTAATACAGAAATGTTCCACAAGGTATTTTTGTAAGAGCATCTCATCAACAGTGTTTTCTTGTGGCACCTGAGTAATAGCAGGATATTCTCTACCAAGCAATGGCCTGAATATAAACTGTGTTTTAGTATGTTATAACCCCTCACTACGTCACCAAGCATAATGACATATCCAACTCCACCTTGTGAATTACTAAGTGTGAAGTTTGAAGTTCACTGGGCAAAATACTATGACCCTATTTTTGTGTATTGTAGTTTTAATACTTTGTTGCCTTTATGTAACTTTTTTTATTTTAAGACTAAGTGTTCTTTCTGGCTTTTGACTCCTTACCTGACTCCAAAGGAGAGCTGCACAAGAATTCCTATATGCCTGGACTGTCTGTTTATGCATAAATGGCAAATAAAAATCTTGACTTGATTTGAACCATTAGTTGAAAATGCATTGATGCTGACCTGGCTGGAACTACCTTTCTAGCTATTTCATTTGTTGTTACATTAGCTGTGTATCTATTTTTTCTCCTACTCTGTCACACGAGAGAGTGGAAATGATGTCCTATTCATTGAGATACAGCGTGACCTGAAGTTGCTCCAAACAGGAATGTTGGTGATACTAATTTGTCATCTCAGTGATCTATACTGTTGGGTAAGAACCAGTTGGTCTGTTTGCAGACACAAGATGCGGTGTTTCGGAAGACGTTGTACACCAACACCACTATCTTCATAAAGTGTAAGTCTGATGTCTCCGTCATGCATTTTTCTCTTCTCTATAGCTTCACTGGTGAATTGCATCATTTATGACAACAATGTGAACAACTTCTGCAGCCAACTTCCTGCACTTACCTGAAGGTCTTTATTGCCTTAATGACTGTGATATTAAAAGACAAATTACAGAGACCATTCATCAAATAGATGGAATATTTCCTGCAACAAGATGTTGGTTCAGGTACTGCCAGGCCAGCTCCAAGTCACAGAAAAGTAACACTAGGTTGACTCCCAAGTATATCTTTGAGAGTCTCACTCAAAATTTGTCAACTGCATGCGGTGTAGATCAGGTTTTAACACAGAGTACATTAGTAAAACTGGAGAACTGATATTTCTAGAAATGCTCTTTGTGTTCTCTGCCTCTCTCCTTTTTTGTGTGCAGTGCCAGGGGGATATCATCACGCTTAGATTTGACCCAGTTACAATGCACCTCAAGCTTTTTAGTTAGAATACACAGTAACTCTGTCACAAGAACTCAAGTTCTTACTGTAGGCTATCAGTTTGAGGTTTTCAGTTATAATATCCAAAAAATTTCCATAGAGGATGCACCAAGACCGGAGGGATAAACATTTAAATGTCACCTGGAGTGGCACTGTTGTGCTGAAATGTGTGTTTATCTCCCTGGCCAAACTCCATATGGGCTTTGGGTGGTAGAGATGGCCTTCATAAGGCAGAACAATTGGTTAATGAAGAATAAAACCAGTTTAATTAATAGTGAAAATTATGGTTAGTTGCAGCTTTAAACCCACATATTTTGCATTTCACCTCTGAAGTAGAACTGGACAGCAGAGTTTGTGGGAAAGGGTGTGCACAAAAAATTATATTGTACCACAACTCCTGGGATGCCTTGAACATCACAAATTAGTATGCTTTATGTGTTTTGTGACCTTCTCTAAGGCCTTTTTAATTAATCCACCCTTTGAGTAACTGCTCCTCTGTTTTCTCTCTGCAGTTCAGGGTGACACAAGGTCATGTGACAGAAACCTGGCGTTCAACATCAGCTGGTATCTGCGCTCTTCTGTTTGCTACAATGAGGTCTTTAACACACCAGTGAGTATTTACTTTTGTCTGTTGACTATGTAAATGTATCACACAAGCACAGTATATAAAAGTAGATAAAAACTGGGACTCAAAGTCAGATCAGTTGTGTATTTGCTTTGTAGATTATCTGGACAAAAGACAAGCTTTCAAGCACTTTCTGCCACTTTTCATTCTCAAAAAGCCAACTTGCATAGTTTTCACTGCTTCAGGTTTTTTGGTTTCACATTAGGAGTCAGCAGTCTGTCAGAGCTGCTGCTGTGTGCTTCCTGAAGTACTTTCATGGCTTTTGGCTCGACTTTAATCTTTGTGTCAGCTCTGGATCTCTGTTCAGTAACATCTCAAACTCGGCTGCTGCTTTGACTTTGATGTGCGGCGCCTTGTTGCTGTCAGTTTTGATGTAGAGGGTCAAAAAGTCGATATGTCGAGGTCACCTGTAGCCTGATCAAGACTTTTTCATTTACATAATGAAATGTCAGTATCGGTATCCACTGGTGCGAGAACGCTCTTGCAACACAGGTGAAACACCGGCGACAGTAGCTGACATCATTATGTTCTACAATTTTTGTGTGTGTGAGAATGGAAAACAATGTCTAAGCTCTATGCAAGTAAAAGACCATTTTCACATATTATAAAGGTTTTTTTTCTTTTACGGTGCTCTGTTAAATTATTTTTTTAAATCAAATCAATCCAACCCATAGTGTTAACTTCACTGGCTCCTTCACTTGCAACAGTGTGGTGTATTTTTTGGCTTTTCACATAACTCGGTTGTTGGGTGCAGCTTTTACCACATTAGGTATATGAAATCAATACTCTATATTTGAAAATTCTGGTAACTTTAATATTCTTTATGCAATGTGCATGTTTAAATGTTTGTAGTAAGAATACAGACCTTTGTGTTAATTCACCAGATATATGTGTATTTGACACAGAGGCGTCAATTTGTGAAGTTGGGTGAATATCAATCGAGTGAGCTGGATATTGTATGTGGAGTGCCTCAGGGTTCTGTTTTGGGACCTAAATTATTTATACTATACATTAATGATATATGTAAGGTTTCTGATTTAGTGAAAGTGGTTTTGTTTGCTGATGACACTACCATATGGGCATCAGGTGAATACCTACAGCAACTCTCTGGACGGGTTTCACAGGAACTTGAGAAGATAAAGAAATGGTGTGACGGTAATATACTATCTCTGAATTTGGATAAAACTAAATTTATGGTATTTGGGAATCGTAGACTAGATAATGAACTTCAATTGAAAATTTGGGGAGCTAATATAGAACGAGTATATGAAATTAAATTTCTAGGTGTCATACTTGATGACAAATTCTCCTGGAAATCTCATATCTGATATGTTCAGCACAAAATAGCAAAAAATATATCGATATTGGCAAG